GAACCTGTGCTTCCAATATATGGAAGAAATAGCTGAGAGGCAAACTAAAAGAAGCTCACCCCAAACAGACTTAAAAAAATGGATTTCAGATGCCATATCTGAAGGGTTTCAGTCAGCATCTAAAGGGGCAACCAAAAGGTATAGAGAAGTATCTGTCTCTTCGGGATCTAGCCTGGAGCTAAATGATCCATATTCAGAAGATGAGGAGTACTGTGAATACTGGAAATCTCTAGACTCAAGGAAAGTGGACAAACTAATATCTCTGGTTAGAAACACATTAAAAATCCCAGAAGGTAGCAGGGAAGTATCAGCTTCAGATGTCTTCTTCGAAGACTTGAGATCCGCCAGACCTACTTTTCCGCTGCACTCGACTATAAAAGAATTGATCCATTCTGAATGGTCCAAACCAGAAAAGAGACTCGATCTGCAAGCGAAAGTGAAAAGAATGTACCCATTTGCATCAGAGGAAGTAAAGCATTGGGAAACCATTCCAAAAATTGACGCTGCTGTGATCCGATTAGCAAAAAAGACCATACTTCCTGTTGATAGCATGGCATACCTGAAAGAGCCTATGGAAAAAAGAATGGACTCTAATCTGGTTAAACAATATCTGGCAATTGGGTTGGGATTACACCTAGCGGCAGCTTTAACGTCAGTAGCCAGAAGCATGAAGGTCTGGATTGGGAATCTAGAAGCAGACATAACCAGTGGCACAAGCAGAGATAATTTATTGGAATACCTAAAAGATATAAAACTGGAAACAGACTTCATTTCTGAATCTGCTTTAGATGTTACAAAATCTCTGTCGAAAAACCTTGCGTTGTCTGTGGCGGCTAGAAGAGCACTCTGGCTCCATTCCTGGGGAGCGGACCACGCCTCCAAAGCCAGCCTTTGTGCATCACCTTTCCTTTGTGGTAAAGTCCTGGATGATGCCATTCAGAAAGCCGCAGATGGGAAGAAAGCGTTTCTACCACAGTCAAACAGAAGACCCTACAGCGCATCCTACAGGGACAAGTTTAACAAAGAGAGTTAATTTCGCGATAGTAGGTCATACAAGCCAGGAAGAGAATATGGCAGATCCCAGTGGAGACTTCAATCCTCTTCCTCCAATAGAGGATCTAGAGGTAGAGGTATCTGCCAGAACACAAAATCATTATGAAGGTCAGGATGTCCAGACTGGAACAGTGGGGGGCCGTCTAAAACACTTCTTTCCAGTATGGGCAACATCCATCAAAGACAAATGGGTCCTGAGCATAATCAAAGATGGCTACAAACTAGAATTCAAAGAATTCCCCAAAAATTTCATGTTTCATCGATCAAGGGTGTCAACAGGTGTAAAACGGAAGGCAATGGAGAACTGCCTTCAGCAGTTGATCACTCAAGGGGTTGTCAAGCAAGTCCCTTGAATGGAGGAATGCAGAGGACTCTATTCAAATCTATTCTTGGCTCCCAAGCCAACGGAAAATGGGGACTTATTTTGGACCTGAAAAGAATAAAACTATATCTCAAGAACATGTCTTTCAAGATGGAGTCTATCGCATCCATAAAACAGGCCATACATCAGGGCGACTGCCTAACATCGATGGATCTGAAACTACCAGATTCCGATACATCCATCCCATCAGTGGTTCCTGAGGGAAAACACTATCAGTTCAGTTCCAGGGCATGCCATTTGGTCTAAGCTTGGCACCAAGAACATTCTCGAAGGTTCTCATAACAGTCATAGCACTCCTGAGAAAAAGAGGAATCCAAGTATTCCATTACTTGGACGATATCCTGTTAGTAGCACAGGAATACCACACAGCAGTCCATCAGACAGAAGAGGTGATCTTAACTCTGCAAGAATTTGGGTGGCTCACAAACAGAGACAAAGACAATCTCATACCATCCAGACACATAGTGTTCCTTGGAGCGAATATAAACACAGAAGCTTCAACTATCTCTCTATCCCAAGATCGCATTGCTTGGATCAAGAGCAATATTCTAGGAATACTTCCAAGGACAAGACTTCGAGCAAATGATTATATGAGTGTCATGGGATCCCTCACGTTGACCATAGGTTTGGTCAGATGGGCACGTTGGAAGGCGAGACAGGCTCAGATGAACTTCCTCACATAGATCAACAAGTCAGCAATGAACTGTGATCAATGGATAATAATTCCCCAAGACCTGAAGCTTCAACTAAGATGGTGGATAGAAGGATCCAACTTGACCAAGGGGTTTCCCCTGGAAGGTCCCCAATGGGAAGTTATTACTACATATGCAAGTACAAGAGGACAGGGAGCTCACTACAAGAACCTTGTTGCGCAAGGAGTATGGAACAACCACACCCGTCTTCTTCACTCCAACATCCTGGAGATGAGGGCAGTCTTCAAGGCACTGATGTCTTTTGCCACTTACCTGAAGGGGAAGATGCTGTAAATAAGAACAATAAAATACAATAGTGAATAAATCCCTAAATATATTGGTGCTACTATCACCTTTGTGGGCCACACAAACCACAACAAATAAGTGAATAATAAAAAATAACAATTTGGTGAGAGCACACAAGATTGAAAAGACTACCCACACTGCAGTCAATCAGTCTAGGAAAAAACTAAAAAGAAAGACATAGGGTAATATAGTCATACACAAATAATTAAACATGAATGTTGGTCTCACTCACATAGAGAGCGCCACTTAATTAGCTGGCTCAAACTGAATGCCTTGAATATATAACAGGACCTCTACTGGGAACTTCTGGCTTCTTTTTGTGTAGTACCTCCAGGACGCAGAGTAACAGGGGGTTACAAAACTTTTTATTCTCCAAAAATCTTGAAGTGAATTAAAAACAGAAGCAATAAAATAAAATAAAATAAATAAGTCCCACAATGTAAATCCAATCACTTGACGCGTTTCGGGAGTTGCCTTCATCGGAAGTGATGTTAAGATCCAAGGCATTCTGGTTTAAATACTTGTATTTGGCGCCTTCTTCTCCCGCGCTGTAGCTGCATCCTTCCGCTTCCGGTATTGACGTCGGGACGCCATCACGTCCCGGCGTCACTACTCGTTTCCGGTTCCGGTCAGCTGTTTCCATTACGGACGTACAGACGTACCACTACAGAGTGGCATCCTACGTCACCATTGGAATTCATTCTAATAAATAGGTTTCAACAGCAGTACCTTACTGATTGCTTTTTTAAAAAGTTTAAACATCTTTCCTATATATCATATATAGATCTACATCATATCAAGACACTTATATGTATAACTTTTATTAGTATATACATAATCTACTGTATCAATCTAAATTAAAACTTAAGATACATATTAAAAACTATAATCCATTTACATTCATTCAGCATCAATAACGAATATTGTATTCTCTACCATTGGTTAAGACCCCACCCTTCTTTGGAGCTTGGGTAATACCCATATGGGATGCTGCCATGTATGGCCAGGAAAGTAGAAATTTTTTTCATACTTATCATTATTTTCTTTTCCTGGCTATTATACATGGCAGTATCACGCTCCCTCCCTTCTGGATTCTTCAACTGGATCTATTTTCTACAGTGTCTAGGTACTTTAAGGACAGCATGTTGATCTAGGGATCTATTACTTCTTTGCTCCCCTTGTTTTCTTTTTCTTGTTTGAGTCTTATAGGCTCTTTCAGCCATTAATTTGCTGTCTTATTTTAAGGCATTTGTACCCCTTATGGCGTACTATGCTTCAGGGGCGTATCTGCTTTAATGTGTTTTGTAAGTTTGCATATCACAGCTTCTCTATGAAACCTTACTATTAGCTATTTCAGCCTTTCATTTGCTGTGATATAACCTATCTTAAGGCTTTTATTCCAGCAATGATTCAATGCATCTCTACTAGGAGGTGCTGATTGGCAAAGCCAGTGTTTGGCCCTGCCAGTTCCACCTCCTTGCCGATTTTAGCTAAACAAATGCTTTCCCATAGGGAAAGCATTGGGTTGGCTAAAAATGATAAATTCTGATGATGTCAGCAAGGAGGCGGGTTGGCGGTGGGCCAGCGCCGGCGGAACCGGTTGGTGCTGGAAATAAGGCAAATTTGATTACCTTTTAAGGTTAAGGGGGACAAGCCAACTAAATGGTGTTTTTAACACTATAGGGTCAGGAATACATGTTTGTTTTCCTTACCGTATAGTGTTCCTTCAAGGGAAAAAAAAGTGAAATAGACACAAATCAATAAATAAAACGTGTACCTCAGCATAATAGAATAAATGAGTTTGATTAGGTTATAGGGAGAAAGGCATTTTAGGTCAAGATTCTGTGTGCCAAGATCTTTGAATAAGTTTCAAATCCATTAGCAACATAGTAATACTTTTTCTTTAATACTAAAGGGTGCTTAATTCAGGGCTTATCCTAAGTCACAGACGCCTGGGTGCAAATTTTTATTGGCGCCCCAAGTGAGCATGGTCATATTACTATCTTACTAACAAATGTCCAGTCCAGGCATGCATGTTTCTATATCAACAACTCCACTTTTCCATCTGTAAGCTCCATCCCTTTTTGTAATGAGAATGCTTTGACAGTGTACGGGGGTGATTGTTTGTGCCTGGGGGTGACAGTGGGGTGAGGGGTGAAAGTAAGTGTGGGACATGGCAGTATGCGGGGAGGCTGTGTGTTAGTGACCAGCCTCCTCACACTAAAATAAATTTTGTTTACTCTAGTAATGCTTTGACGGTGTGTGTGTGGGGGGTCATAGTGTGTGTGGGGGTATAACAGGGTGCGCTTGTGGGGGTGACTGTGTGTAGGGTGTTGACAGTGTGTTGGAGGATGACAGTGTGTGTGTGGGGGAGGTGACAGTGTTTGTGGGGTGGCAGTGTGTGTGCGGGGCGTGTCAGTTCAGTGTGCAGAATCCCCACACCGTAGTGAGCAGAATCCCCACACTAAAATACAGTGGAACCTCTGAAATCGAATGGTCCCTTTCTCGAACAATTCAGAAATCGAACAAAAATTTTGAGTAAAAAATGTCTCGGTACGTGAACAATCCTAGGAACCCAAACAATTCATGCCACAAACATGTTCAATTAGACACACTTTGGACACATTTTAAACGCCAGAAAAATAGTTACCTATCCCCATCCAAACAATAATATATCTTCTCCTTTTCACTTAAGCCATCAACTCTCATCATTACAGGTAAAGTGAAGTTACATTTTTATTTCATTTACTGTACATTGTGTTTAATATTTTTTTCCTGTATGATTGTATGCATGTGTGGCATTATTAAACTTTAAAATATGTGTTAAAATGCTGTAATTTGGGGGGTTTGGAAGAGATTAATTAAATTTACATTAATTCTTATGGGACATGTTGATTCGGTTCTTGAACAAATCGGAACTCTAACAGTCTTCTGGAATGGATTAAAGGGACACTATAGTCAGGGCCGGATTAACATAAGGGCTGATGGAGCTGCAGCTCCAGGCCCAGGCCCAGGCCCATTTTAACTACTCTTAGGTTTGCAACCTGACTGGTATTTTACTGGCACAGCCAGTATTTGAGGCTGCCTGGTCATGCTGGTATTGCAGTAATACCGGCAATACAAATGCAGGTATTTTTTCTCAGTGTAAACAGAGATTACTCTGCAATACCAGCACCAGCCAGTAGGGGTCACTGTGTGTGGAGAGAGGCAGGGATAGGAAGTTACAGCATATCCCTGCCTCTCTCTACTACTCACTGATCCATGGGGGAGCAGCTACACAGCACAGAGAGTCCAGACAGTATCACTATGGCTCCCAGTTTCCCCTAGTCTCCCAGTGTCTGTGTCCCCATGTCTCTCAGTGTCCCTAGTGACTCAGAGTCCCCATGTCTCCCTGCCAGTGTCCTCAGTGTCCCCATGTCTCCCAGTGTCCCCATGTCTCCCAGTGTCTGTGTCCCCATGTCTTCCAGTGTCCCCAAATGTCTGTCTCTCCATGTCTCCCAGTGTCCCCATGTCTATGTTCACAAGTGTCTGTCTCCCAGCCAGTGTCCCTACTGTCTCAGTGTCCCCATGTCTCCCAGTGTCCCCTAGTCTCCCACTGTCCATGTTCCCATGTATCTCAGTGTCCCTAGTGTCTTAGTTTCCACAAATGTTTCAGTGTCCCCATGTCTCCCAGTGTCCCCTAATGTCTCAGTGTCCCCATCTCTCCCAGTGTCTCCATGTCTCCCAGTACCCCCATGTCTCTCAGTGTCCCAAAGTGTCTCAGTGCCCCCATGTCTCTCAGTGCCCCATGTCTCCCAGTGTCCCTAGTGTCTCAGTGTCCCCATTTCTCCCAGTATACCCTAACGTCTCAGTGTCCCCATGTCTCCCAGTGTCTCCATGTCTCCCAGTGTCCCTAAGTGTCTCAGTGCCCCCATGTCTCCCAGTGTCCCCAGGTCTCTCAGTGTCTCCATGTTTCACTGTGTCCCCTAGTATCCTAGTGACATAGGGACACACTGAGACATGGGGACACTGGGAGAAATGGGGACATTGAGACCAGGGACGTTTTAGCCATGGGGCAAACAAAGCATTTGCCTTGGGCGGCACTTTCCAGGGGGAAGCAAAAAAAGCCGCCCCCAAATGCCCAGGGCAGATGTCTTGTTAGCCTTGCGGCTAACTGACAAGACAGGCGGGCAGTCGGGCGGCGCTGGCGAGGGAGCACTTTCCTCTGAGCTGTCTGCTCAGCTCCCTCGCGTACTGCAGAGTGATGCTGGGAGCCTGAATATGACGACGCGCGAGGGAGCTGAGCAGACAGCTCAGAGGAAAGTGCTCCCTCGCCAACGCTGCCCGCCCGACCGCCCAGCAGCCCCACTAGACCCCAGGGAGAAAGGGAACCCCCCCCCCCAGCATTCCCAAAGGTAAGAGGGTTAAATGAAAAAAAAGTGAGTGTGTTAATGTGAGTGAGTGAGTGTGTGTGTATGTCTGTTAGTGTGTGTGTGTCTGACTGTGTGTGTCTGTCAGTGTGTGTGTATGTGCGTTAGTGTGTGTGTCTGTTAGTGTGCGTGTCTGTTAGTGTGTGTGTGTGTGTGTAGGTCTGTTAGTGAGTGCGTGTGTCTGTTAGTGAGTGCATGTGTCTGTTAGTGAGTGAGTGTGTGTGTCTGTTAGTGAGTGTGTGTCAGTTAGTGAGTGTGTGTGTCTGTTAGTGAGTGTGTGTGTTAGTGAGTGAGTGAGTGTGTGTGTCTGTTAGTGTGTGTGTGTATGTTAGTGAGTGTGTGTGTGTTTGTGTGTGTGTGTCTGTTAGTGAGAGTGTTTGCCTGTTAGTGTGTGTGAGTGCGTGTGTCTGTTAGTGAGTGTGTGTGAGTGTGAGTGTCTGTTAGTGAGTGTGTGTGTCTGTTAGTGTGTGTCTGTGAGTGAGTGTGTGTTTGTCTGTTAGTGTGTGTCTGTCAGTGAGTGTGTGTCTGTTAGTGTGTGTCTGTGTGGGTCTGTTAGTGAGTGTGTGTGTCTGTTAGTGAGTGTATGTCAGTGAGTGAGTGTGTGTCAGTTAGTGAGTGAGTGTGTGTGTGTGTGTGTTAGTGTGTGTGTGTGTGTGT